AATAAAATATCTAGAATATGACAGCCACTTTGTTATTGTTTTCGTCTCATCATGCAATTAATCACACCTACTAGTTATTCAATAGAGAATATTATTAAAGGGAATGTCTTTTGTTAGATATTAAATCAGGGGCTTTCAACCTTTTCTTTTCTTTACCCAGGCTCCTTGATCGATTACATTACCCCCTTCCCTATAAGATTCTTACTATTTAGTGTTAGATGATGAGGAGAACATATTCTCATGAAAGCACTGGCCTAGGTCACTCATCATTAGGTTTTCTCTCAAATCTTGTTCATGTCGAAGAATATAGCCGGACTGAATAGAACGACTTAAACTCAAATTCATCCCCTTAGGTTTAACACCCAGTGAATCAAAATCGAAAAAGACTGACTCACACTGCACACTGTATTGCCCATCATCAATATGAGAAGAAATGATGGGGTAAAGAGTAAAAATAATCTGGTTATTAATAAATATATGCGTTAAAATTAACTCACCTTTCGTAGGATCTCCAAAATGTTCTGAAACACTCAAAATTGATTAACTAGTGGTATTCGTATATAAATATAGATCTCCATTGTTACAATTCCGTAATAAAAACCATTTATTCAAGTGGTATAAATATTCATGAATAAATACCCTATATATGTTTAGATTATATATTTAGTCTCTCGTATCTATATAGATAATGAATGAGCCTTCAATACGGTGATCGGTAACGTATGCCGCATTGTCTTGATTATGGGAAAATAAAGGGAAATATGACCCAATTTCTCAAATTTCGTAATTTCTTACTTGTTAAACCAATGCTGTAAAAAAAATTGCTGTTGTGTGCACGTGTAATTGCCCTGGTCGTGCATAAATACAGTTGACCTATTTAAGATTGTTAGCGACATGGTAAGGCATATCATAACCACCATAGATAATACACAATGATAATGATATTCATGGTAATTAAGATTGTTTGTGATTGTAATACACAATAATAATGGAGTCCTATATAACTTCAGTTATTGTATACTATCGCACAATCCAACTGCAACTGCACGGGTAAAGGTTAATGCTTCGTCATGTGTACGAAACCCCGTTTTGTCATAGCAACTGAAGTATCATTACGCCCAGTTGTGCCACCCTAATTTGTCATTTCATTTAGGTTTAAGGGGGCGACTTTCTGGGATCGATTTGGGTCTTGAGCATATGTAATTAGTTTATGTAATAGAAAATCACACAATATCTTAAATCATACCTCAAACTAGGAATTTCACTATCTATTTTATGTATTTTCTACATAAGACATATATGACAGAGTCTCAAGAAAAGATGAGTCGTCTTTTTAACTTTCAAACGCGGATGATTTTGAACACACATGGATTTGATAGCTCAAATTTCGACAATGAGCTGTGAACACTATTACTGAGTAGCTAACCAAAAAATTCCCATTTCTGAAGTACGATTGACCAAACGGATGACAAATCTATCCCATTAACATATACCTTCTAGAAATGGATGCTTAAAAACACGAGTACTTAATTTTTCACAACCCTTTAAGTACTATAACAGAAAATCTCAAATACAAACAAAAGGTCAGCAAGTACAATCAGTGACTATAGATAATATGATTGTTTGTCCAGTCTAAACTAAATTGACCAGGTAGGTAGGCAGATGACAAGTTAACGTTCGCTTCCAGCGGATGCTGATATCGCAAACTAGGTAGTTGTTGGTAGTCGTAGTAGTTGGTAGTTGGATTGACCATTCAGTTATAAATATATGTAGTAGGTGGTCATTATCTGCGTTCAACGACAACTGTGGCATCTTTTGCTAACACAAGCCACTCTTAACGTACCGGTACATTAAGGGCAGTAACTCCGTCAATATAAAATCGAAATATTCTCATGTTCGAACTTTGATAAAATTTGAACATAAAATGTTGCCTCTAACTGTTAGTGGATTTTTGTGGACAGATGGATGAACATGGGGCGACACATTACAATGCGGGTGTATAAAATATAAAGGTCAAAAAGTATGTGACACAGAAAGAATGTATAAAAGGTGTGTAATGTTGATCTGAGAGTTGGCAAGTCTTGAAAGTTGGCAAACATCATCTTTACCAATAATCCCTTTCATCAGGTTTCGTTTATCTAGTATCTTGTCTGGACGTAACACTTAGGACTGGATTACTCATTTAACAACAGTTGATGGAATATATCAATGTATCTCACAATCCTAATAATCAATTAAAACTGGAGTTTTTTTTTCAAGCTGAATTCATAATCATTTTCCAATGGTTATTCATTAATCGAAATGCGGGACAAAATGGAATTTAAACATTAAAAATTTCGGTTCGAAGAGTGGAGTCAATAGTTTCAAATTTGACATATTTTGGTACATGCAAATATTGATTTTTTTTCCAAGATTTATCAGGTTTCTTAGGGTTGCCTAGCAAGATACGCCCACTTCTCTGATAAATTTTCAGTATATCAAAAGGCGGTCGCCAATCTGTGTCAAATCATACAAAAAATCTAATTAGTACAAGATATTGTTGATTTAATAATCAAACACACAAATTGGATGCATTTTAACTAAGTCAAGGGCGATAACTCACATTCCATTCATTAAAAAATCGTCACATTCAAACTTGACCAAGATCTCATTGTAATAGATGATTACACCAGATTTCATTAAAATCAGTTGAAAACTGTAGTCGCTATTGTGTTCACAAATAAATTTTGACACGTTTTTATTAAGTCAAGCGCAATAACTAAAACTGTTCATCGAAAAAACGTCAAATCCGAACTTGTCCAAGATTTTATCATGATAAATGATCACACAAAATTTCATACAAATCGGATGAAAACTGTAGTCTCTATTGTGTTCACAAACAAATTTTGAGGCATTTATAGTAAGTCAAGGGCAATAACTCAAAAACTGTTCATCGAAATATCGTCAAATTTAAACATGACCAAGACCACATTATAATGTGGGCATATAAAAATTAGAAGAAAACCTTCGGAAATCACATTCAATGATGAATGACGGTTGTCATAACCATAGAGTAAAATTTATAATACTTGAGTTAACCATGTTATTACTTTCATTTATGAAATTTATGGATATTTGCCTTGAAAAAATACTGACATACACTTTACACAAATACAAAAGCAATTATAAAATAAACCAATCCTCTATCTGAGGGACAAACTAATTTCTGTTCCATAATGAAATCAACAAACAAATAACATAATTAACAGCAATTTAAAATTGCAGAATAAATAGGGAATAAAAAATGAACTTTTAAAATTCATCCCTTTTAAGGCATTTTATGAAACTGTTGCCATATTTTTGAACAACATACATGTTTTGAATACATGGATTCAACTTAAAAAAATATATATAAACTTCTCAGTTATTTAAAGGGATTGTAAAGAGTTATTCTAAATCTTTTTTATGTGTATCGGGAACACTGATAGCATCAATTTACACCTTTCTAATCTTCAATCAGACATCTGTGGTTCCTGCAATTCTACTAAAATTAGGCGTTTGATCACATCACTAGTCACGAAATATTATGCTTTATCACATAATACTTCGTGATTAGTGTCTTTAATTTCTAACAATATAAACTTATTCTATGGATTAAAAAAACACTATATCTGAAACATGTGTTGGCAGCATAGGATAAGCTCTAGGGAAATAGAATAAGGTGAAAACTATTGTTCAATAAAAAGCATATCTATAAAGATATTAACAATTACACAATTGTTCAAAAATATCAACATAAAAAAACCTTTGGAAATACTTTGTATTCTCCAGTAAAAATAATATTAAAAGAAAAGAAAAGAAAAGCAACCGTTTATTAAACGCTAAGGAAAATATCAACAAAAATAGTGATTTTTTTTTTCACTTAAAATTCAGAATTGAATTTTTTCTGTCATTTCACAAATATTCAAAATAAAATTTTCAAATGAATGTCATTTGCCTTCTCATCTTCAGAAATACAAGGTTTTTTACATTTAAAATAAACACTCATCCCTCAGAGATTTCCTTGGAAAATAACTCAAATTTTGAACTGAAAATTCCCCTCTGTAAAATCATATTTCCAAAAAATAGTTTTTTCATTGGTTATCATTTTCATCAACCAAAAGACAATCTAAGAGTCTCAGTAGTATTTTGAAGTTGATACTTTTAGAAATATTAAAACAGAACCTTAAAAAAAATGCTATGCTATCTTCAGAAAACTGTTCTATTTCAGCCTGTGTCCCTACTGAAATTTGCATTTCGAAACATTTGTTTAAAGACATGTTTTTAAGAGCATTAATGATGGAAAGCTACATTGTTTGGTTTTACTTGGGAAGGCTTAGCATAGCACAGCATAGCATGAAACTCTGAGTAACAACATGATTCAAGTTTTAATATTTCTATATCACTCTACAATTGTTGTATTTAGCACTATTTTAATCAGAAGAAACAGTAAACTACAACGAATTCAGGATAATTATGTCCTCAACAGATACAATTATCATTTAAGCTGTTATAATCACCATTATTTTGTTCAAATGAATATATAAGAGTAAAAATTCGATAAACCACCTCAACGTTCGGTAATGAAAAAACACACTAACGTTCAGTAGTAAAAAGTGTTAACACTCGGTAGTAAAAAGTCGATTTTTTTTTATATTCGCTGTAAAACTGATAATAAACACTGCACAATACAAATACAGATATTTTTGAAGGGATCTCGTCAAGCACAATAACTTTTGTTTTTGTTACAATTTAGTAAAAGGGACCTACATTTCACGCTTTGATTGGTTAAAACTACTGTCATTAGAATGTGACTGTGGTAAAAAAGGTGTTAGATTACAATGGAGACGAAAAATATCAGAAATAAAAGTAAGTTTTAAATTAAATTTTCGGGGTGTAGAAATAGTCAAAGAACTGTCAAGTAGTGGAATTTCAACAAAAAGAATCCCTGAGATTAAACTCCTCTTCAATGGAAGCCATTTTTAACTCTTGTATTCAAAATAATTAAATTCATCTTCCATTTTTTCATCTTCACTGTCCAATACTAAACTATCACTAGTATGACTACTATCATTGTCTTCCATATAAGGACTACGGTATTTCACTTCTGGTCCAGTAGTAGGTAACTTCGCTTTTTTACCTGAAATAATATAGCATCATATTGTGGTCTGAAATAGTCTCTTCTTAATAAGAGTTACCTCAACCTTATACTTCAGTAATCAAATGACATATTGAGCACTGTGCAATAATCATGCTAAGAAGTAGATTTTCAAAAATGTATTATAAATTCAGCACATGCAAAGTTTCAAAGAAAGTCTCTAAAATAAACAAGTTAGATAAACACGGTAATATTACGCCCACTGGCTGCTTTGAATTTGAATAAAAATATTTGGAAGTACAATAACAAACACCAGTATGAAATATTCAACCTTCAGTCATACACTTCTTTTGAACTTTTTTGGTGTGATACTATATCATATTACAGTTTCGTCAATATCTGTTAAGAATTGTAACTTCTAGAGTGTTTACAGACTAAAACTGGTTTTAAGAACAAGGGCATTAACTCAAACTAAATATTTTTCGATTATTCTGATTTTCAATAGGGTTTATCCTTGGGTGATAACACACATTCACACTAAGTTTTAGCAAAATTTGTCATTTCATGTTAGTGTATAAAAAGGTACTTTTTTCAGTCATTTGTTCATACATTGGTATCTCATCAATACAATTCCTTTCAGAATGAAAGTAGAAATTGGTATCAAGATCAAGAACTTACATGAAGTATTTACTTGTGGTCATTTCAGTGCTAATGTTAAAAATATTTACCTTTTATTAGAGCAGGAATATTGTCATCAGAATTTTCAGAGTCTGAACTGTTGATTATTTTATCAAAATCTCTACTGATAGCACTAGTCTATAATTAAAATAAACAAATTATTTACAAGATTGTGTATCATGTACAATAGCCCAGAGTAGGATTAAAAGAAAAATATTTCAAGGAGACAAAGTTTTCTTACTATTTTTAATATTAGCTATTGGTGTTACATGTCAGCCTTGCTATGATAATTTCCTTACTCATTATTTTTGAAAAATTTAAATTTTTGCCAATGTCAATACCAATAGCACAATGTATATGCTACAAAATTACACAAGTCAATGAGTGAAATGAATTAAGCCAATATGTTTTACTGTAAAATGACCCCTTAAGGATAACTATTAAATCAAAAGTATCATTTTCAGGATTTTTCAACAATTCTAATTTGCCACTGGAGAGTTTACACAGCAACTGCAGGATTCCAAACATGAACAAAGCAGCCTTAAATTGTATTACATCTAGTGTCCTTCTTTCAAATAAAATAAGATGGTTTAGCAAAGTTAAGTCAAATTATATATTACCTTATGTTTCTGTTTCAATAATCTACTCCATGTACCTTTAGTATATTTATTTAAAATCAGCTGTGCTCTATTACCAATTATATCTATTCTACTTGTTTCAGGTTTAATTTCATCAAATAAATCTAGGTCCAAACCATATTCTCTGTTTTCTAACCTCGCCCTGTAATCATGTAACATTTTATCATTTTAGCATGAAATGTAATACTGAAAATAATGTTATTTTCTATATGGATATGGACTCATTAAAATGGATATAGAGACAACAAATTCAGTCAAAAATAGCATTGCTTTTCAGAAGGCTGAGTCTGTAGTAATTTTTCTAGTGGAGCTTGAATCACAAGCCTTTTTTGAACTCTAATTCAGAGCCATAGTTAGATTCAAAGGGGAAGGGGCTGAAATATTTCACTTATTTAACTCTACTGGTCAATAAAGACATTGAAGCCTTTGATATCATTGGTTCAAATTTTCAGGGTAGCCTAGGTCGATATAAATTCTAGTTTGAAGAATGATCCTGGTGGTACTTTGATGTCCACTAGTCTACATCAAATTTTAATTAATACTAACTTGAACTGTATTGAATGAGGATTAATGATGTAATCTTCTTGTCTAGATCCTGGTGCATTTACTGTTACTCTAACCTTATAGGATGATTGACTCCAACTAACTGGTGGCATCACAGGACTACAATATAATACAACTAGTTAATAAAGCTAAGTTTCTGGACAACAGAAGTAAAATAACAATCTTGTATAGTAATTCCTTTGGTAAACAATGCTTGTGTTTAGCACATAATTCTATGTATTGGTACTATTGCTATCAAATGTGTATATTGTAGAAGCAGCTATAATGATTTCTTTAATTTGCACCATTCAAATTTTCAGACTTCTTTAAAGAGAGACAATCAGCATTCTCTTCCATTTGGACAAATTTCAAGGCACTGCAATCACAGGTAACGATGCTTTAAACATAAATCAATCATCAGCAAAACTGGTATGATATAGAGCAGTCTAATCAAAATTAGACCAAACTTTCGTTCCAATTTTTTTTATTAGATTTTATTTATATTAGAGGCACTTCAGTTAGAGTCTAAAGACTGGCCTCTTAAATATTCATCAAAATAACCGTTCAACCTAATCTGCTTGAACCAATCAAATTCCTTCACTATCACAAAATTCAGAGGGCAGTAAATTGATTGATTGAAATCAGGTTTGGTCAAACGGTTATTTTGATGAATGTTTAAGAGGCCAGTCGTTAGACCCTAACTGAAGTGGCTATATTAAAAATAAAAGCTAATAAAAAATGAAACGAAAATGTAGAGAGTCTTACCCTGCAGAATCCTGTTCTTCTGTTGGTATATGATGATTATTTATAGTAACTATATTAGTTAAATCTTGTTGTGGTGTTCGTACAGCTAATGATGATTGTAATTCATCACACAATATCTTAGTTTTACTATCTATATCTAGTGTCATTAACCTAAATAATACCATTGATATTATAACTACTTTTATACAAGATAACATTCAGAATATTCACAGAGCTTAATGAAAGATATCAAATGAAGCTCATACAGCAAAAAATTACATATGCTTAGTTTACCACCAAAAACCCTATCATTTCTTTTACAAGCTGATAAGAGCTTCATTTTAGCAACAAGAGTTTCAAAATATAAACATATATTAACAGTGTCTAAAGTTACAGACCAAGCAATTTCACTGATTGCACATTGTAAGCAGAAAATAAATGATTGTCATACAAAGATTTCCCCTACCTTCTGAGAACTTGAAATATATTTTTCTCTAGTAACAAAGTTTTATTTTTTCTACTGGCTTGTGATAAATACTGACATAACATAACACCATAATGTAAACACTGAAAAAATAAGAGTTTGTTATATGGGTAGTAAAGAAAGAATGAAATAGTGGAACTTTGTCAACAAAAAATAGAATGAAAAATGTTGGTTGTTACAGGGTTCATGTTTCAGAGTGAGATTTAATGCCAAACGTTCAGCATTCATTCAATCCTCCGCAGGTCATCTTAAGCCTGCGAAATGGGAATTGTTTAACAATTAATGATACAAGTAATAGTATTTCATTCTAATCCATAAATTATTAGCTTTTTCACTTGGCTTTTATTGAGACTTCTTGTCATATTGAGTACTGGATAATCAAGTGACATCCAACCCCTGATATAAGAAAAACCGTCAATTGTGAATTAATAGGGCAATATTTATAGTTCATATTCAAGTTTAAATTTTTCAGATTTCTTACCATATTACACAAAGCATTCATCATGAATTCCATTACAGCTGATATCACAGAATGTTTCTTAATTTTCTTTTGAGCACTGAAAAGGATAATGTAACTGTTGAATATGTATCATACAGTTGTCAAAGGTATCATATAGAAAATGGCCGATATCATACAGATAATCACTTGATTAAAATTAAGGACCACCAATAGCAAAATCTTAAATGAAAGGCCAGCAATTTTACAAACCTAAGTCTTATACCTTGACAGCAAAAAACACCTTAAAAGTAGTGATTTGGTTGGATTGTATGATATTGAAAACATAATGATAATGAATAAATAATAAATTGATAATATCTGCCTATTACATAATTGTAATGAATAATGATAAATTGTTAATAATAGACTATTTATCCAGTAATTTTTATCCGATATTGATTATGTATTAGTTATCTCTGATAAATATATATAAGATTAAATTATAATAGATAATGTTTACCTATCCCATAATGATAATGAAGAGAGGAATTGTATGGCAGCCTCTTGAGTATTATGATGAGTAGATTCTAACAATAACTGACTAGCAATATTAACAGCATTCTCTTTTTCTATTATATCACATGTTCTATAATGAAAACCAATCTTATATTAACCTACATACATATCACAATAAATCACAAATCACACTACATTTCAAATGTATGTAAACCACCTGAAAAAACTTATAATTTAATTCAAAATATTGCTCTAGACTAAATACCAGCAATTTGATAACGTTTATTAAATACCGTTTTTAGTTAAAGATTGAATGTAGATTAGTTGATGAAACCAGAATTTTCACATGTTAATTCCAATGAATGGCAAAGCCACGTGAAAATTCAGCATATATCAACCAATGGACGCAAAAAAATCTACATTCAATCCTTATATTTACATTCGGTAGTGTTCAGGAATCTATAACCATACTCATAAGGATAAAATTATTTCCATAATATAGTTAGGCCTATCATTATTGTCAGAAAAGTCGGAAAATACAGCAATACAACTCCTGTTCATTAACTTTAAGCCCCGCCCCTACGTTGCTAAGCTGACCATGACGTAAAAATACACAACAACACAATAAAATAGTGGAACCAAGATTTGTTCCATCGCCTTTTCTATTTTTAGTTGAAAGTAAATGAATGCAAATTTCTCACATGGGTTCACTGTAGCATGTGACAATAAAATGTAAATATTACTCAATATCTTAAATACATGACATTGTTTTTTCTTGTTGCATGAAATTGGCATATTTTACCTTCATTAGGCAGTTAAAGTGTAAACTATACAATAATTTCGACTATGCATATTTGTATTTGTGTTTATTACCATGATGGTTATTGTTATATTAAACTTGAGTAAACTGGACATATATAACAATTTAACATACCTTTGATTATCTTGTAATAGAGCAGAAAGAATTTGACACATATAACATTGAATCTGAAATAAGAAAGTGTATCTTGAACATTTATTGTATATGAAGAAATCCTTCCCAAATGGAACGACATGATTGAACAATTTGACTGGATTATTACACTTTGGAAATAGTACACCTAACAAAGTACAACTTTTCTGGAGTGACCCAAAGAACCAATATCAAAAGGATCACTGGGACACTCAAAAATCGTCGACCAAGACCGTTCGTGTGCCAACACCATTTACTGAACATTCAATGACAAAACTAGATATCAAATTAATAAATGGATATCACTACAGTAAAATAGTTATCTATATACCTGATCTGATTCTGTCATCTCTAATAGATCACATACAATAGTTATACAGCTTGAGTTTTCCCATCCTTCACGTAAACTGAAAAAAATATAGTTTAAAATTCGTAACAACTAAATCTTACTACAACAGTCAATTCTAAGGGAAATAAGCACATACTGTAGAACAAATTGCCTCATGTTTCCATATCATTTCTTCTGCTAGACGATTCACCTATATAAGTCCCTCTGAATTCTATCAATGATAGACTGGCTTCAATAAGCCTATCCTTCACTGTCAGGCTGATTTTTATTAAAATTATCATAAGAATCATTGCTACAATCTTTACCTTTCTTGTTGAAGAGCTAATCTAGCCATACATTCAGCAGCTTGTTCTTGTATTACTGGACAACTAACCTATAAATAAATTTAAAGAGTACTTTTCTGAGATTTCATTTTCTTTTTGGACAATGATAACTATAGTTGTTCTCCAACATGAAAAAGAAAAGGGGGAAGGAGGGTAATGCAATTGATCAAGAAGAAGTTTGAAAAACCCTCATCTACAAACTATAACTTATATCATGATACAATACATGTAAGTAGATACTGACCTGTTCAAGACATGTAGATAAACTATGTTGTATAGTAGCTTGATTACAAGCTGTAGCAAACCTACAAAAATATTACATTACTATAATTAAAAAGGATAAGAAGTAGAGATACAGTGCTAGGGCTGGGTGATATACCGGTATCATGATAAATACCGGTATCATGATAAATACCGGTATAGGAATTTATATCATTAGTTATATCTTCTAAGAATACCGAAATATCATCATATTGTGATATATGGTAGTTATCATGATATATCAACTTGAACCAATATCGCCCAGCCCTATAAGGTGCAATCACCAAATTGAATTGGTTATTTGAAAAAGATAAGCAAGAAACATTCATTGAACATGAACAAAAACATGATCAGCAAGATCTTGCTAAGGTCTTCACAGTTAATACACATACATTTCGGACAGAGTTGATATCACATTATGTATGATAAACTGGGTATTGTACTAACTATTCTACTATTTACAAAGAAAATAACTTACTTGTCAGATGTTAAGGTAGCTTGAGTAATAATAGACAGTAGATGACCATGTGCTTTTACATTAAATATATAACCTATTAACATTACCATAGATTTGATACTACCATTTAAACACATTATACTCACTTGACTGTAATATATGTACATATTTATTAGTGATATCACTTGACAGTAATATATACATATTTATTAGTGATATCACTTGACAGTAATATATACATATTCATTAGTGATATCACTTGACTGTCACTTGACAGTAATATATACATATTTATTAGTGATATCACTTGACAGTAATATATACATATTCATTAGTGATATCACTTGACAGTAATATATACATATTCATTAGTGATATCACTTGACTGTAATATATATACATATTTATTAGTGATATCATATGACTGTAATATATATACATATTTATTAGTGATATCACTTGACTGTAATATATACATATTTATTAGTGATATCACTTGACTGTAATATATACATATTTATTAGTGATATCACTTGACTGTAATATATATACATATTCATTAGTGATATCACTTGACTGTAATAAATACATATTTATTAGTGATATCACTTAACTGTAATATATATACATATTTATTAGTGATATCACTTGACTGTAATATATACATATTTATTAGTGATATGGTCAAAAGTGTCTCATATAAGTTATAGATTGAATAGATTCTGATACAATTGTTTTCAAATTTCATGCTGAGCTTTTTCACCATATGTTGATTATATATACAACACATTCTTATAACGAAAATATCTTGCTTAAAGGGGAACAGTCAGCATTTTTGGGGATTGATTTGGGTCTTTATTGTGCTTTAATAGTTTTAAGAAGTACTAAAACGCACAAAAATTGCATAACCCCTTCAAATATACCTCAAACTAGAAATTTCACTGTCTATTCCTATATATGTGTTTTTTATATATGGCATAATCTCATTAAAATTCGAGTCGAATTGTTAACTTTCAAATGTGAATAATTATGGATACACATGGATTTGAAAGCTGTGAACACTATTACTAATTATGTAAGCTAAAAAAATTCCTGTTTCTGAAACTGGTATGATTGATTGAATGGATAGTCAAGGTGCTCCTTTAAGACACATCAACACCTCAAAACAATTCCAAATCAAATTTCAATTCTTGCTCTATGTTGAGATCTCTTGACTCACTCCAAGAACAAACCAGGGTAACACATACATTATACATGCTTGGATGTGTAGTTATGATACGTTTATGAAAATAATATTTACCTTGGTTGTAATAGACTAGTCATTACAATACATTCTAATTGTTCTATCAATCCTTCACATTGCTGTAGAAGAAAATACATCAAACATCAAAATATTTTGGAAGTCTACAGAGTTCATACCCAAGTTCATTCGAAGAGTATTGTAGATTCTATATTTCAATATGACACATACTGGGTTTAATACATCATGGATAAATATTCATAACAAACCCAAATTCAAACTTGTTCTTCATTTCAGCATTATGTAAATGATGTATGAATTTACCTGGAAATTTGAATGCACAATCAATGCTATATAGAAAGATGTTGGCATATAAAAATACTTGGCTTACTCACCTCATTCCAATATATACAGGAGCATAAAGTTGGAATGTCAGTCACTTTGGTAAAGGAATCTGGATAGGACGTTAGTTTTGGAAATAAATTCTGGAAATTGAAGTAAGAGAAATGCAATATAAATGTCAAACCCAACATAAATATATAATAAAATAGAATCAAATTTTCTAGAACAGTAACAGTAATATGTCTTATTGTTATTTACAGTTGTAGTTGTAAAGCATGGTCTAAAAAATAAAAATAATTTTCAAAACTGCTTAATGAGTCTTATTTTGGTACTGATGAAGATTCTGTAATTTTTAGATCCATTTTTTTTTGCTTAATAGAATGGAAGTTGCATATAAGTTGTTTTGCGTTTTGCTTTATTTACACTGTTCACAGCGTTCAAAGTGTTAAAGA